TGTCCAACTTTTATGAAATCCTGCCTACCTCTATTTCAAAATGTTAATCTATAATACCCGTAATATATTTTTTTGGAAAAATTGCTCGCATGTATTGTATTAACACCCATTCTCAATTAATTAAAAAAAATTGTAAAATCAAAAATAACTATTAAAATAAGTCGTAACATAATCTTTTTAAATGAAAAGCGAATTAAGGCAATTAAACTTTTCAAACGACAAAGCAAATTAAGGTAATTAAAGTTGTCAAAAACTACATTTGAAAGTGAACAGAATGTCTACCTGTCACGTGAATTTCTGAAAATTCAAAATTCTGAAATTTTCGATCTAACTAATTTAAAAGACACAGTTTTGCGTCCACTGGACATTGTTAGAACCTCAGCCTCAGCATTTGGCGCGGAGTGCCACTAACCGATTCATCGAATTTATTTGGTCATGTATTGGAAAGTCAAGAATTTTAAAATCTTGCGCTGTTTAGTTCCTAGTCTTTATTAAAATTACATAAATTTGCAGGCTCGTCTGCTCACTTTTGGTTTTCAAACCTTTGTCACGTATAAGGGCAGATTCAGAAAACAGTCAGAAGAACAATTCAGAGAAGGACATCACGAAGTACCCATCCAGGGTTAGGGCGGAATTCGAATCCATAACCGCTACGCTTTGCACAGCGTTCGGCGGAGGACACCATACGGCCAGAGCGGAAACCAGAATCCGAAAACTTCGGATTCGAAACTATGCATTAAAAATTAATTTTTTAAACAGGAGTGGTGATTAACAGTATCATAACGAAACATTTTTGTTTCGAAGCTATGTATTAAAACTCGAAATCGAGAAGTTCGAGAATAATTGAGAAGTTCGAAACTATGTATTAAAAATTAATTTTTTAAAAAAGAGTGGTGATTAACAGTACCATAGCGAAACATTTTTGTTTCAGACTCTCGTCTGCCGTAGACATCCTTAGGAAACACAATCTTTATAATCTGGCAAAATTAACTGATAAATTTTTATTGACAAATAAAAGAAATATTTCAATTTTCCTCTACACAACTTTCAGGTGGAGAGATTTTGTAACTAATTGTTTCTTTTAAAAAGTCCTAACACGAAAGTTTCTAACACGAAGCAGAACACTTTTATTCATTCTAAATTCCTTCTTTTTCTCGGTACTAAAGGTTAAACAAATTTGAAACTTATCCGGAAAAGGTTATCAACCGGTGTTAAGAACATATTTAATTTTTTTTAATCCTCGGGTGAATTTTTGTTTTGTTAAAAAACAACATGGTTACAAAGTTGCTCGAGGTCCTTAGGCTCCGTAGGCGCATTTTACCTGTCTATCGTTCGTGTGTTACTTCATATTGAAGCTATTTTAATCATGAATCTTTTTAGAAGAAAACAAAATAAAATAAATGAGTCTTACGGAATTGTATTTGTTTATTTGGTTTGTTGTTACAACATACATTTTCAGGTTTCAGTGCTCAATTAAGGCTTATAAACCTTTGTCACATAGAGGAACACATATCACTATACAGAGAAGGACAGCACGAAGATACATCGAAGGCGGGATTCGTACCCGCTGCCTCCATGGCTTTGCTCAACGTTTGGCGGGAGATATCGTTCGCCCTCTACACAACAGTAACAATTGTGGAATATTATATCTTTTCCTAAACAATAAGGAATGATAATTTCAGTGAGTATATTTTTACTGAGGGAAAGATTAAAATAAAAGGCTCTTACTATCAGTGTTCAATCTTTTCCAAATAATAGTCCAGTCTGGATGTCTGAGTGTCAAACTACAGAGAAATGGTTTCGCTTATAGCTGTTGAATTAAAAATGATGAACCCCAATTTTTTACGTTCTCCGTCGAACAAGACTTAAGAAATGTACGAAGCAGGAAAACGTAAAATCGGGGTAAAATAAATTTTAGTATATTTTCCAAAAATTGACACTTATGGGATAATCTATAGATATATATAAAATTTATATAGATAAAATTACATATTACATACATATATGTAAAATTTATATAGATTACATACAGATAAAATTTCAACAATATCGCTCTCAATGCTTACTATTGTTTTCAAACTTGCTTTAAAGTTTACATTCGCAAATGCTTTAGAGCTTTTATGCTTCAAACTGTAGATAAGTTGTGGGTATCTATTCTGATATTTTTAACTCATCTTCATTGTTTTCATCAATATCATTGAGAGCAGGAATTAAATCAGATAATGAAGAAATTGAAAAGCAATGGGATGTGTTTAGCAGTTGATATACGTGTCATCAATTTCAGAAGATCTTCAGGCATGCAATTTTATTCCGAAGAGTCAATGTTCCCGTTTGATATTGAGACGCAATTTACCTCTACAAACTTTATTAAGCCCATTTGTATTGCATTTGAGTCGACACTGTTCAACGCTGTGAAAATCAAATTCAGAGTTTTTAGAACATTTAATTTTTGCTTTAGAAGCTTCTTGCAGGTCATCGGAATCAAGAAAAATGATTACCTAACCAGCTGTGTAGTGTAAAGTTCTTTAAACGATTAGATAATTTCAAGATTCAGTGGTTAAGGATTGTTGGACAATTTAAGCTTCATACTTCCTTACCCCTCTCACACACATCAGAACAATAAGATAGAATAAAAAGAATGCCGGAAAATCTAATGAACAAGTTTCTTTTTTTCTAGAAAAGAAAAGAAGGGGAAAAGTTATTGCGACCTTACAGAGAAAAAAATGATTCAAAAACGATGCCTCAAAAACATATAAAGCGAAATTTTCTTATAAAGGGTAACGCAAAATCAGAGATAATTGAACATCATCGGTATGGGCAATTTTCACAGACCAGCAGAATATGATGTAGGAACAGGATAACTTACGAAACGGACGACGTAAAACCGGGGTTCCACTGTATATTGAATTTAAATTGGGAATATTGACGCTCAATTACTCTATTTTTTCTTTCCACTTCAATTACCATTGATTTTAAATTATTTACTTTTATAGGAACACTTTTTAAAAGAATTACTATAAAAAAATGAATACGTGGCACCAGATCACTTGAGAAATACTAAGGATGTAGTTCACACTTGCTACCTCATAATCTTGTTTATTTCGCGATCGAAACACTCGAGTACGCCCTCTAGCGGATAGGTTATTTTCAGGCTTTTACTTATTAAGTTTTCATTTAGTTCTATCAGAATGATTAGCAGAGTTGGACACCATTTTTAGCTGCAAGTAAAAAGCAAAATTTCCACAAGAAAAAGGCTAAAAAACTTGAAAAAACGACCCAGAACATTGGTAAATCTTTCTGAAACAGAGCGCACCCAACATTTGAAGAACAGTTTCTCAACAGCTTTTACCTTTCTATTATCAACAACATAACTCCCGATTTCGTGATCGCCTGCTGTTACACATGTGTGTATTACGATAAAATAATTTTTTCTTTTCTTCAATTCTATACAAATTGCAGTAAAGTCAACATTGCTTACTTCATTCCAATGAATAAATGTGATTTCAGAACGTATAGAACTGAAATAGTTATAGAATATTCTTCTTTTTTATAGAATAGTATATATTTCTGTATCTATATAATTCGAAAAACAACAGTAAAGAATTTTCCGAATTACTTGAAGTGGTATCATTTGTGTTGATTATTAATAAATTTTTATCGCTTTCTTTTTAAGTATTTTTTAATTTTGAATGATAAATTTCAACTAGAATTCAGCTATTTTGTATTTAAGTTACATATTGAAATTCATATCGAGATCTTGCAATTATAAAATTTTGTTGCGTGGTACGTCATCTTAGAGTAATGAAGGGATAATTTATGTATATATTATTGAGAAAAGAGTTTTCAAATGTAGAACGTATTATTTTGGAATTCTCTGGATTTATAAATTAGGTAAGTGTTATGATTTTGATAATGAAAAATATACTTGTAGAATTTTTTTTCTCTCGAATTTGATGAGTTCTCCATAGAATGGTTTTCTACGCCCGATTGAGAATAAAAAAAACATGAAAGTTAAATTGGAGGAATGTTTAGAACATCTTTTTTTGGAAGCGTTCTTTATTTTGCGTTTTTTAGTTTATAAAGAATGATTTTTTATGTTAGATCATTAAATTTAGTAAAACGATTTCCAGGCATTAGGTTTTAACTCTAATAAGAAGATACATATTTTTTTTTCTGTTTATTCACAAATATTTTTCCAATGTGTTTCGGATGTTCCTTCTTTAAAGAAAAAGAGATACCATTTTGCATGCAAAAGAAAGAATATCAAACATTTTTCTTTTTTAAATTTAATGAGCCACATTAAAGAAGGAACGTTGCAATGCTACACGCTACATTAAAGTTCATTATTCATGTAGAAATCGCAGGTATTCGTCTCCTACAACAACACCCCCCCCCATAGTTCGTTGCAATCGCGAATCTTGAAAATACTTGATTATTTTAGTCGTCTCTAGTTATACTTCAAACAATGACTTAACGAATCAAAAAATTCAGTTTCGCTTTTCATTCATCCCACTCAAACGGTTCTTCGTAGAATATTCTAATGTCGACAGTGACCTTTCTCGTGTTTTGAACGATCAGTATGCTGAATTTCATCGCTTCCAGATAATTCTTTAAAAGACATACAGACATAAATTCATTTTTGTATATATTGAAAATTTTCATAAATATTTTTATAAAACAAGAAAAATAGCAATAGGCCTGATGCAATAACAAATTCTAGACGCTGATGCTAAAATGTAACCTTTTTGTTACACATCTTCGCTGTGTATCATAATAAATATTTACTTGTTCAAACATTGCTAAACTGCTTTAACTTTCAAATAAATGCTTTTAATAAATCATAAAGTTGGAATATAAAGCAAATAATAAAAACAAGATTATTAGTTTAGTTATAGTTGTACTAAGTAGAAAATTTAATTTTAAATATAACAAAGTTGACAGACCACTGTAAACATCTGCTCAATTTAATAGATAAAGAAAGAGGAATAAAATTGGTAAATTGCCAGATTTTACATTTCGCTGTTTTCAATATAAATACAGCATAAACTTGAAAATATTTCAGAATTGTTCAACCAGCTTTAGCTTCAAAATGACTCTCCAACGTTTTTTGCTTGTTCTTGTGGTTTTGGCTGTTTTAGCTGTTTCAGGTAAGTTTAAAAGCTTTTTTGACACTGTTATAAGTTTTGGTGCATGGTTGAACAATAATATCGTTCAAATTTGCTGCAACTTTAATACGGAGCTCAGTTTTAATATATTATTATACTACACAAACTTTAATACACCATACAATGTTTCAATTTAAAGGAAAACATATGTGTGCTTCATTTTAACCCTCGATTAAGATTGCATTAAATTTACGCTACTTTACCGAAATTATGGTACTGGTATTACGACTATAAGCTGATATTATGGTACGTTAAATATTGAATATGGAACAAAATATTTGAAAAGTTTCGTGGATGAACAGTTAAAGTAAGATTTTGGGGAACTTGAGAAAGAATCAGAGTATCTGGTTTAATTTGATACCTTATAATCATGAATCAGTTTTGTACCTAAAGCCATTGTTACCATTGTTAAAGTTGCAGAAAGTTCGTACTGTATTTTGTTTCAAGATACTGATATTATGCTTCAAAATTAAACTGTTTTTTCATATGATACAGTTAGTTTAATGACTGCAAAATTGAAAAGCTTTGTGCAAAAATGTGTTAAAAAGAGTTTAGGAAATTAGAGAAATAATCTGGTTCAGTACTTCTTGAAGGCATACGATTCAATTTGTGGTTTAATTCCAGGAAAGGTTATGGTTCAATTTAATACCTTTTTATGGCTAAATCAAATTATATGGTTTGAAATTGAGCGATATTATGGTTTGAAATTGAACAGATTTTCTTATATTATATGGGAAGTTACATGAATATAAAATTGTAAAGATTTGAGGAAGAATGTAATAAAGTAAGATTTTTGAGAATTTGAGAAAGTATCACAGTATTTAGTTGATGTTAATACTTCTTTAAGATTTGAGAAAGGACGTATCAAATTACTAGACCTAAGAATCCGGGGTTCGAACCCCATTAATGGTTAATAGTTAAAAAATAATATATCATGAAAATAAAAGTTTTTTTTTTTGAGACACGATGGCTCAGGGGATAGAGCGTTCGCCTTCCAATGAGGTTAACCGGGTTCGAATCATAGCTGGTCGATAAGAATTTTGCATCCGGCTTGCAGCGGCCACTGTGTTGATGTGAACGATTCTCAGTGGTAGACGGATCATGGGTTAGAGTCCCGTTGTCGTCAAGCTATACGTGGGTAGTTNTTATGGTACTGGTTTAACGACTCTAAACTGATATTATAGTACTCTAAGTATTGAATATCGAACAAAATATTTGAAAAGTTTTGTGGACGAACATTTAAAGTAAGATTTTGGGGAACTTGAGAAAGAATCAGAGTATCTGGTTTAATTTGATACCTTATACTCATGAATCAGTTTTATACCTAATTAAAGTTGCAGAAAGTTCGTACTGCATTTTGCTTCAAGATACAGATATTGTGCTTCAAAATTGAACTGTTTTTTTCCCATATGATACAGTTAGTTTAATGACTGCAAAATTGAAAAGCTTTGGTGTAAAAATGTGTTAAAAAGAGTTCAGGAAATTAGAGAAAGAATCTGGTTCAGTACTTCTTGAAGGCATACTATTCAATTTGTGGTTTAATTCAATACTCCAGGAAAGGTTATGGTTCAATTTAATACCTTTTTATGGCTAAAGCAAATTATATGGTTTGAAATTGAGCAGATTTTCTTATATTATATGGGAAGTTACATGAATACAAAATTGTAAAGATTTGAGGAACAAAGTGAGATTTTTGAGAATTTGAGAAAATATCACAGTATTTAGTTCATTTTAATACTTCATTAAGATTTGAGACAGGACGTATCAAATTACTAGACCGGAGGATCCGGGGTTCGAACCCCATTAATGGTCAATAGTTAAAAAACATTATTTCATAAAAATAAATGTTATTTTGAGACACGATGGCTCAGGGGATAGAGCGTTTGCCTTCCAATGAGGTTAACCGGGTTCGAATCATAGCTGGTTTATAAGAATTTTGTATCCGGCTTGCAGCTGCCACTGTGTTGATGTGAAATATTCTCAGTGGTAGACGGATCATGGGTTAGAGTCCCGTTGTCGTCAAGCTATCCGTGGGGGGTTCTCATGGCCTTCCTCTCCATGTGACGCAAATGCGGGTTGGTTCCGTCAAAAAGTCCTCCGCGAAGGCAAATTTCTCCCAACAGGTGATCCAAGGGTTCCCTTGTCTTCTGGATTGTGTTCAAAATTACAAGGCTACGGTGTTGAACATTAGTAGCCGTAAACCCAAAACATAGGGTAGGCTGTTCAACGACTCTTATACAATAAAATAAAAATTAAGCGAAATTTTTAGGCGAAATGCAAGCACAGACACAGAAGAAACCTTTAAATTTTTAATGTTTATTTGTTTTAGTAATGGGAAAAGTTCATCATTATACACAAGGAGGAGGAGTGCCTGATACAATGCCTGATACAGCAGTAGAAGAAGAATCAGACGGGGGAGGATTAGGACTTTTAGGTGGTGAGTATTGTGTCATAATATGCAATGTTGTAGACGCAAGATGATGAAATTAAATATCATCACTATGAGCTCAATATTTTTAATTATAAAATCACATTAAACATTTAACAATAAAGAGTAAAAAAAATATAATGTTAACTAACATAATTTAACTAGAAAGTTTTTACTCAAATGAGTAGGAAAGGGGGAACCAGGGTGGTTCGCAGAGCTCGTCCTGCGTCATCATATATTAAGTCAGAAAAAGATAGTTGTTATCGTCTTTGGGGTAGAGGGGTAGCGCCATCTAGTGCTACAAATAAGCCACCCGTTACAATGTCTAATAAGGTCTAATAAAACGTGAAGATTACATATAACGATTTTATAAAGTGTTTTACGAGTAGATACGAATTAATTAACTGTTTTACCTTGTAACAAAAATATTTGTACTTTAAATGTCTTGGAAATATGTTTGAAGTTAATCTCTTAACTTGGCTACACGTTTTAAATAAGTTCTTAATTTGGCTATAAGGGTCTTGAGAATTTGAAGCCCTAGAAATATTTTCGAAATTAAAATCAGCTTTCAAAAATATCTCATAACATTAAATTTATTGCTGTAGGGTAATTTTCAACTCAATAACGTCTGAATAAATGTTATTTTAGTCAACAGAATTTTATTTATTTGAAAAAAAAAACAACTTTTTTTTTGAGAAAATGTTAAAAATGGCGGTGATTTGGAAGCATTTTTAAATTTTCTTATCAATTTTTGTTGTTAATGAAAATAAGAGAAACTATAATAATTTTTATAAGTATTTATTGTTTTGGGATACAGAAATTATTGTAATGTATTTAGTAATTATTGTAGTAAAATTTAACATCTCAATTAAATAGTAATTTAAACAAGAAAATAGAATAATAAATTAAATTTGCTACATTTTGTACAAAATTTGAGTCCAAAATTTCGTTTAACATATTTTTTACATAGGATTCGACACTAAATTCCTACAGTCTTTTTAAATTTTTGAAAAATTCAAAGTAATAGACCATAAATTTTTTTGTGGCATTTTCCTTATCGTTTGCTGCAAATTTTTGGAATTTTTTTTCATTTACTCAAATGGATGGCCAAAATAAGGTACGCCTTGTAAGTCCGCATTTCATTTTTAAACTTGGCATGCAGGTCACGAGTGGTTCTTTCTCTCATGGATCCCTTAACATATTCAGCACAAATGTCAGGAGCAGCTTTCGTTACATTAGAATCTAGCAATCGAGTGACTACTATAAGAATTTAACTCTTCACTGCATTTGTTTGCATACCTGCAACGCTAGAGATTGAATTAGACTTCTTCATCAGGAATTTTTAAAATTAACTAACTAACTCAGTGGCGCGACAGCCCATTAAGAGGGCCAAGGCCGACTGTGCCCAATTTTTTAAAATTAACGCAAAAAAAATACTAAATGTCCCCACTTCAATGCTACGTAGGGAGTGGTAGGAAGAGGTTGAAATTGTATTTTAGTTCATGATGTGATACTTTAAGGTCATATGTTTATTTCTCTCGTTATTTTCAAAGGAGTACGCAAGTGTATATGCATGTTTATAAACCTATTCGTTCTTTATAATCTTGTACATTCAGACAGAAACTAAACTAAACCGAAAATACCATTTCAAAAATTTTTTCATGTATATATATTTGTTTTCGGAAGGCAAAATTTAGTGGTGGTAACACAGAAACTAAAATATCGACTATGTTTTATTTTCGTTACCAATTTTTGAAATTTTCAGGGCCTGCGGGAAACCTGTTCTACGCTTTTTTGATAAAATCTCTTCTTGCAGGACTGCCAACAACTACACTTTTTGCAAAATATTTTATTTTTCTTGTTTTCCAGTGGCGCCATGAATGGCCAAGAATTAGACTTCTGCCACATCCATATATCACACCCGTTAATGGGGCGGACCCATTCATTCATCCGCAGATCGTAATTTTGACCTGAATCAGAGAACGATCCATTTTCAATTCAGTACCCTCTGAGGTTTTGATTTGTTATGGGAGCATGGAGAACTTTGTGACCCGACAGATTTAATGTGCACCAGTCACCATTTACTACACGGGGAAGTATTCAGCCGACTGGATTCGAGTCCCCGTTCTCACAAACGTGAGTCCAGCGCCTTGCAAACCAGGCTATACGTAAATGATTCAAAAGTTCGTGGCGAGCCTTTTAAAATGTTGGCAAAATTACCAAAAATTCTGAAAGCTCTACTTTTTGACTGCGCACCACTCTATGTACTTAAATGTTTTGCAAACAGCTGACCTGGTTGCCTTTTACAGGCTTTATTTTTTTATATTTATTTTTCATTCTGAATTTCGTATTTTTGAACAAGGCTTATACTTTTACTTATACTTTATGCCTTAACCAAGGCTTATATTTTTGGGAAAAAAAAAAAAAAAAAAAAAAAAAAACAATTTATGGTATTTTCTTTTTAAATCGGCTAATTTCAGGAGATTCTAAATATTTTTCAGTAAGATCAAAATTTTTTTTGCGTAAATTGTTGTTAATTTTTAATTGATTTAAATTTTGATAAAAAAAAAAGATTTTTGTGTTAATCTCTGCCTTATATTCCCTGATGAGGTTAAGAATTTTAAAACGAATATTTAAAAAAATTGATTTTATTTTTTATTGATTGTTTTAATATAAAGTCTTATTTGGAATGTTTTTAATGAAATTTTTTCAATTTTGAAGGAGTCAAGGAGTTGCTTGATGACGTACTCAGTGATGTTGGAGTTCACAATCAGTAACCAATGGAATTCACAGCCAAAATTCAAAACGAAAAATATATTGTTGGAATCGAAACTTAAGCGATTCAATAGCAATATTCAATGTAAAAATCGGTTAATCAAGATAGTCTTTTTAACAAATATTATAAGTTATTTGTATTATAAACTGAGCTTTTGATTTATTGTAATAAAAATAGCTTATGTAAAGTAAAATTATCCAAAATTATGCATAAATATTTTGACTTCGTAATGTGTGTCATGTTTGAACTATAACATCGAAGAGGGGTCTCATTGGTACAGATACATGAGCAGTTCAGCAGCGTGTTCAATTAAGACTTATAAGCTTTTGTCAAGTCGAAATACAGACAGGACGAAAGCTACATTTAGGGTTGTAGCGGGAATCGAACCTACTACCTCTACACAACATAGCGTAAGATGGGCGATACCACTCAGTGAGGAAGACCCCAGCTTTGGTTCGGAGTGTTGATGTCATAAATTGGGACAAAGTAATTGAAATAAAAAGTGATACTTAGCTAGAGCATATATATTATTTCCTCATATTGTCTGTAAAGTTTATCGAAAAGTATTAATAGTAAGCCGTTATTGCATTACATGGAGAGGAAAACCTTCCATGGGTAGCCTGACGGCAAGGAGACTCTAACCCATGTTCCGTCTACCACTGAGGATATTTTACGTCAGCACTGCGGTCGAACTAAACCGGATGCGGAATTCGTATCAATCAGCCATTGCTGGGACTCGAACCCGGTCATCTCAATCAAAGACGAACCCTGAGCCATCATGGCTTATACAATTTTATTTCATTTATATCTCGGCGCCTTCCTGGCCAAGCAGTATCTCCCGCCAAACGCTGCGTGAAGCGTGGAGGTGGCGGGTCCGAATCCCGGCGTAACCCTGGATGTATTTATTCTTCCTGACGTCCTTCTCTGAATTGTTTTATCTGTCTGTGGTGATTAGGTTAAATATATTAAATAAATTAATTCAATAAAAATTAACTATCAACACAGTTTAATAATAATAATAAAAAATAAAAGAAATTATATTAAGTTACAACATGGAAAGACAAATAGGATTAGCGACAGCAGCATTTCAAAAAATGGTGTAAGTTCATCAGTCAGCAAGATAGAATGAATGTTTTTCAATTGACCTGTTGCCATTTCTTGAAACTAAGGCTTTAACACAGAGATGTTGCCATCTTATAGAAAAGTCATTTCCTAGAGGGGAAAGTTTTGTACTGCCACCAGGCCAGTAAAGTTCATCGCCATCTGGTGAGAAGGTAGTTCACCACATGTCCTTCTATTTGACAAAGGTTGTAACGTATCAAGCTATATTAAAGAAAGAAAATCTGTTTTTTTCCCTGTAAAAACATTTATTTTACAACAAGAAATGCAGTAATGAAATTAAAGGTCCCGTAGCGGGATAGTAATAACTTTGCAAACAAATATAGAAAACCCGTAACGGGTAGTACAAACCTCAAATTCGAAAAACAAAAACTACACTCTAAAATGTCAACAACTCTCTGTTGTTCTAAAAATTGTCTCGTGCTTCTAATTTTATCCAATGCTTTTATTTTTGAAATTTATCTCTTTATGTATTTATTTTATTTTATTTATGCTTTTGCTAGCCAATTTTTTTTATATAAAATTTTAGACTTTATAAGCTTTATGAACCTAAATTGAGCTCACAAGCCTACAAATGTATGCAATTTCAATAAAGAAATAAATGCATTTATATCGGGGCTACTTTTTTAAATAATGTGCGTAACTATCCTCATTCTAAGGATTTATTATTTAATTCACTTCTAATTTATTAAAACTTCTGCAGAAAGCGGAGCAAACCTTATAGCAAGTATGCTAGTTTAATTGTAAAAAATAAATTATTAAGGTTGGATTTTTTCCCCTATATATATCTTTTTTAAGATTTTATTTGTGGTGCTAATGATGGGTATATTTAATTCTCACAGAAATAAATAAAGAATGAAGAAACTTTTTACCCCATTTTACGTTACTAAAGTAGTTTCTTCGAATGTTAGGACAATTTCGACCTTTATGTTATTTACTTCCTTATTTAACACGTTGAATGCCAAGCTAATTTTACATGGCTTGCCCGTCTGGCTAAACGGTAAATAACTATAAACTAAATTTGTAAATTTCACAGATTTTGCTAGTTTTTTAAAAGGTATAGCATGGCATATCTGAAAAAAGTATTAAATTATATAAGCCTACGAATTGTTTAGAAATAGTGGTGGATAAAAATCTACTAAATTGAATTTATTAAACCAAGAATCATAATTAATAAACTACCACTTGAAAATATTTATTCGCTGTCCGGAGCAAGTTGGCATCTATGTGTATATAAATAAATTTTTTTTTCTGTGTTCTATATTGCACAAATTTCTTCAAACCATTTTAATACCGATAAAAACATAAAAAAATTAAAAATTTACTCGAATTATGTATTTCTAATAACTTTGGTTCCGCCGGTCACCGGTGACCCCCATGGCATTCAACGTGTTAAAAACATAGTTATAAGGTTATTCGATGTCCGTAGGGGCCTTTTACTTGTCTATCGTTCGTACGTTGCTTCATATTGAAGCTATTTTAATCATCAATCTTTTTAAAAGAAAGCAAAAAGAAATAAATGAGTTATACAGAATTGCATTTATTTTTTTTATTTACTGGTACAACATCCACGGCTTTGCTCTGCGTTTGGCGGGAGATACAGCTCGACCTCTACAAAATTCGCGATCGCAATGAACTATAGGGGGCGCTGTTCTATTATGAGACGAATACCTGCGAATTCTATATGAACAGTCATTCAGTTACTCTGGAGATGTCTTTAATGTAGCGTGTAGCATTGTAACGCTCCTTCTTTATTGTGGCCAATTAAATTTAAAAAAGAAAAAATTTTGATATTCTTCCTTATGCAAACGAAAACAAAATGGTATCTCTTTTTTAAGAGAAGGAACATCCAAAACACATCGGAAAAATATTTGTACATAAACAGAAAAAAATATGTATATTCTTATAAGAGCTAAAACCTAATGCTCGAGAAATAGTTTTACAAAATTTAATGATGTAACATGAAAGGTCCATTTAAACTTTACATTCTATAGTTTTAAGAATCATATTACTTCAAAAATTAAAATGAACAAAAAGTATACATAAGCCTCATAATTTTATGAAATTTAATTTTGTAAACAACGTTTTTTGACAACAATTTTTATCAAAAAATTTCAAGTTTCAATAAAAATCATTATTTAGCGATCCAAAAGTTTGGACTCCTTAATGTTATTTTGTAAAAAAAAGTTGTGCGTAGAATTGTTAAGTTCTTTAAAAAATGTAGCGCGTATGGTACGAAAGGTTTCTTAATAAAATTTATTAAAACATTGCCCTCAAGAAATATGACTTTTTATGCACATAAAACACTCGTCTATTTCTATAAGTTGTAATTTATTTCAGTGAAGAAAAAACAAATAAGTCAAGCATCTAATAAATAATTAAACTCTTTTTATTATTTGAAGAAAAAAAAGAACTTCAGCCAAACATATGTCGAGTAAAAAGTTCTCAACAACATTTTGTAAATTTTGCAAAATTTGAAATGTAATTNTACCAAAAAAAGTACTTGCGTGGCGTGAAAATATCTTTTGTGATGTAACTCTTTCAAAAGTACATAAAAATGGTTGCCATCAGGGGTGTACATGTAGATTTATTAAATACACCTTGTGCGCCACCTAGGAACCAAATCTAGAACCCGACACTCAAAATTTTCGCTCTGTTACAATCGTACCCTGTTACAATTGACCCCACTCTCCCCTACTATCGGTAGAGTTTCAGTCCATCTCATGTTGCTGTGGCACATCAAGGCTTGTTTTAGTGAGTGGTGGAAGCTCTCGACCATTCCATTGCTGGCTGGGTGGTACGGAGATGTGCGAATTTGTTGAGTGTCCAATATTTTAGCTAATGACGTGAAAAGCGATGACTGAAATTGTCTTCCTTGGTCTGTGGTGATTCTTGAAGGCACACCAAATCGAGCAATCCAATGATCAACAAAAGCTCGAGCTACAGTTTCGGCTGTAATATCCGCCAGTGGTACTGCTTCTGCTCATCTGGTGTATCTGTCGATGCACGTAAACAAGTAACTGTTACCATTGGAGGGTGGCAGGGGTCCGACCAGGTCAAGGTGTATATGGTCGAACCTTGTTGAAGGCGGTATGAATGGCTGGATTGGACTACGAGTGTGTCGGGTGACTTTGGATCTCTGGCAGTCTAGGCAGCTTCTGGTCCATGCGACTATGTCTTTGGCTATAGCAGGCCAAACGTATCTGTCCATGACAACTTTTTTGGTGGCTCTTACACTAGGATGGGATAAGTTATGGAAAGCAAAGAAAATAGGTTTCCTAAACTGAACAGGGACATATGGTCTAACTTTTTGCTTGCTAGAGTCACAAATTATGTGCAGTCCATTCGTCAGATATAATGACTGGAAGTTTAGCGAGCACTTTTTATCACTCAGAAGAGCTTGAAGTTCAGTGTCACTTTTTTGAGCTATAGCCAGTTCATCAAAGTTTACAGGTGGCTCGCTACCAATTTGCTGAATTCTGGATAGCGTGTCGGCAACTACATTGTTCTCACTAGAGACATGTCTGATGTCCGTACTGAATTGAGATATGAAGTCCAGATGCCTGAGTTGGCGCGGGGAGCATGTGTCAGAATTTTTGGTAAAAGCATATGTTAAAGGACGATGATCAGTGTAAATAATGAAGCTGTGGCGAAATCATCGTACTTGATTCTAAAAGTTCATGCTCTGGCGAACCTAAAATATGCAATCTACGCTCAAAGTAATTCTTGTTATCTATGTGAACTGAACCGAAGTTCAAGAAATAAATCGTGGTCATCTCAAACTTCGTTACCATCGAAACTATTTTGCGATACTTTGTTCTTTTTCTCTACTTTTCTTTACTTTACTTATCTCTTTTTTCGGTAACCTGCCAAACGTTTTTCTTCAGCTTTTACTTGTTTAATT